CTCCACTCCCCTCCAGCTTGCAGCCTTGCCCCTTCCCCCCGTCCTGTCGGTGCCAGGCTTTTTTTTCTCTTGCCTATTGGATGTTGACCAAGAAAGGTTCAAGGGCCGCAGCGCCGCACCGGGACCTTGGCCCAAAGCAGCGACGAACAAAATGCAAGATGCACGCCTGCCCTCTCCTGCTTTTTCTTCCTAGGCCCGCCGGCTACGACTGGATTCTAGGTGCGCGCCAATGCGGGTCGCCCAGAACTTGCAGGAGCACGGCAAGGGTTGTCGCCTTGGTCTCGACTTCCTCGCTAAAAGCTTGACTGGGGTCTCCCTGACAACCATTTAAACCAACTCCGGGACTGGTTGCCCGCTACGGTTCGGCTCCTTGAGTTGAAGGTGCGTTCCACTTCCCGTCCTCCTGCAATCCAGCAAATCCAAGACGCTCGAATTCCAAAATGAAGGATCCTGACACTGTCTGGACACTCCTCTTTCGAGCTTTGACCGTCTTTGGTCTCTTGGTCCATGGCATCACGATGAAAGAAGATAACTGACACCGACGCTGCTTACTTTACTGGGTTTCCAACTTGCAACTGACTGGGTGGCCAGGTAGGGATCACTCGCCGGCCCCCAATCGCAATTCGCACTCCGCTTCAGCCCACAGGAGGGATTGTCTGCAATTTGCAACTGCAGCCGATGAATGAATCAATCACAACCCGCGCCACATATGGAATCGTTTCCTGTCTTGTCGCAACTCTCATCTGACCTGCACAATGAGACTGGATGAAGCTGCAACAAGTTCGGACGCGCTGCTCTGTTTCGTCTCAGCCTCTCCTGAGCCCTGAGTCCTGCTCCAACGCTCTTGGCTGTCCCATGAGACATGGTCTCTCCATTAATCCGTGAGTGTACCTACAACTACCGGTCCGACTCGAGGGAGGCATTTCTTCAGCCAGCTTCAATCTCGAGCATGAATATCCATCCATGCACCCCGCAGTGTCTCCTATTGTATCTCCAAAAAAATCGACGTCATGCTGCCAAGCTGTTTGGTGAGGGAGGATGGATTAGAATTTCGAGCAAGACCACCAACGAAGAACGCCTATCCCTACGGACCGCGACTCATCATCTCATTTCAAACATTACCCAAAGAAAGCACCGACGCAGTGTGCCAGTGCGACAAAGGAGATTATCGCAATGAGATGCCATACCGATCCGCCAATCCGTCAATCGTGTCTCGCCGACTTTGCAGATTCCAGGAGAACAAATTTAGAACACGCCGAGATTTAGCAGGCGAATATCGATTTGCATACCCAGTTTTCATCTTGTCATGCATGTGGCTGAGGGCGGAAGTTGTTACGGTGCATCCCCGTACTGTGGTTGCGTTGTAGCACTAACAACGTACAGTGGTACGCTCGCTGTGTTCTCCGTAGGTACAGAGAAAAAGTCGCCCTCCCAATGCAACCCCCTATCCATACCTTATGTTCATCCCTGATCAACGCTACCTCCTGAACTCGTGGCTGCGAGGTGGTAGGTATTATACATTCACCCACTTAGTCCAACCCAACTCCCAAGCTCCGCATAACGGCGTATCTAATCGCTTCCAAAAGGCGCCGCATCGCTTAGATAGATTGGCGCTTTCCGATGGCAAGACCTTGACGCGTCCCGTCTTACCCAACACGGCCCGCAGCCGACAAGAATAGTCTCCTGGTCTCAGCAAACTTCACGACAACGGCAAGCCACATTCCTAATAGATTCATGCCGGTTCATGTACTGTGCCGTTTTCTCACTCCCAATCACTTCCTCGGTCGCTCAATGCTCGAGACAAGAAGAGAGAGAGGGCAGTTCGATGCTTTTGGGCATGCGCAAACTCTAGTCACAGTCGCACGGCCTACTTGTCCAGAGACGTGGTCACCATGACTGCAAAACGCAATTCCGGTCTGGAGTTCTTCAGCGAGACTCTTGTACTGTTGTTATTGCCCAACTGTGTGCAATTCAGAGGATTCTGATTAGGCACTCGCTGCTGAAATTGAAAGCTTCTTGCGTTTGAAAACCTGTCAATAGTCCAAGGGGCAGTGCACCGCCAACACCTGAGAATACGAGCTGAGGATCAAACAACATCAGATGTCGAGCAAAGCAACACATCGTCCTTTGAGGAACTTTACGAGAGTCGTCACTCTGCAGCCAGCCAATGAAGACAAATTCGGAAGGGAATCGGCTGACCCGCCGCCGTCGAGTTGTACAAGTGCGCCCCTCAAGGTGGAGACAAGCATCCGTTGGCCCCAAAGTGCTCCGGCGGCTCCTTTCAAACTCAAGCACATCCTCCTGACCTCTCACCGTCCCGGAGGCCCCAGGAAGCCCTCCGGCACCGGCGGCCTGGGTAACATTGTCCCCGAACTGGCGGTGGAACCTTGCAACCTCAACTCAACACCGAGGCGTGGGACGGCTACCGTTGAACGCCCGACAACTTCTACGAATACTCCGTTCACTTCGAGTAGTTGATCAGGCTCAAAAACGCGGTCGACAAGTGCACCGCTCCAGCGTGCGGAGTAATCTCGCCTCGGCAAGGGTCCTGCGTTGACTGAGGGCTGCATTACAACGGCTTCTTGCTTGCCTCAGAAAGTCGGTGGACAGGAGGCCTGATGCATACAGGGCCACGGTACGCGGTACTGGCTTTGCCCTAGCTTGGTCGCCGAGGCGGGAACTTTGCCTATCTCTACCTCGCACGAGCCTAGTGTGAAGAGTTGCAGGCCAAAGGCTATATGCGGCTTGTGGTTCAGACTTCCCTTCACCTAAAACTGGCCACTCAGATTTGACGCTTTTGTCAAACACCGTCACTTGATCAACAGTCACCTCGACGCCCAGCTCCCACGACCCCGCATAAGGTAGTCTGACTTGCGACAAGACCCCCCGGTGGCTAGTCGAACCTCGTGGTCACTCGTTCGTGTGTCAGGTCCGGTCGACCACATACCCTTACTTTGCGTTCACTTTTCCTCGCCTATCTTTTTCCTTTCTTCTTCTTCTTCTTGCTGCTTCACCTACTTATATCGTGCTCCATCTCATCCACATCGTTGTAAATCCGCCGCTCGAATTCACCTCATCCCATCCTCTTGAGCCTGGCGGCTGTGCATATTAGTGCCCATGCGTCTCAACATCTCGTAAGAACAAGAAAAGCCAGCCATGTCCGTCGCTATCACTACCTCGTCGGCCTCAACTCTCCTCCATGAAGAGCCAATTGCCTCCCCCAATGCCTGCGGCGTGGGCCTAGAACTCGATCAGGCCTCCGTGAGCTGCGTCCTCAAGCAGGAAGCCATTTCTGTCACTCTCAATGGCCCCGCCATCTTCACATTGTCTATGACTCTGGCTCTCATCATCCACTTCTTCGAACCCAGGATCGCCGAGACCCTTCTTGTCATCATCCCCATCCTGCTGCTCGTGCGGAACGACTACCACAACTTCCTCGGCCTCGGACCGGGCGGCACACCGGCCACGTTCCAGGGCTACGTTCGAATAGCCTGGCTGCGGCTCTGGGCACTCCGAGACCCCTTTACGGCGCCCGAGGCGAGGCCAAACATCCTCCCGAAGCGAGGCATCCTCCGCCAGGATGGAGACCTCACCCGACTACCATATCGTCCCGGTCCCCGACCCCAGGTCGCCGGCATCGCGCCGCAGAGGCAGCTGGATCAGCATGGCACGGTGCCGCACTACCACGCCCTCCGCAAGACGTTGCAGAAGCTCGCGGCCGCGAACCCGGGAACATTCGGTACCGCGAGGTCCTGTCTCGAGAAGCACGGCCTGGCACTGTTTGCGCGGCACCCCGTCAACGTTACGTGCAACGGGGAGGTTTGCCACGTCCACGACTCGGACCACAGCTTGCACATGAACCTCCATCCCGAAGACATCCGAGAGGTGCTGGCCAAGGGCTGGGGCCAGCGGCATCCGTTGGCGTGGAAGGGGACGTTGGTGAGGATGCCCGTGCCGGAAGAGTTCGTCATGGTATATGCTCCGCGAGGTACGTTTCTTCACACACACATGATGATTTTTTGGATTTTGGAAAGAAAACGCTGCCTTGCTCTCCAAGGCGGCGGCGGGTGACGGCTAGATGTCACACAGTTCACTCTTTTTTCTGGTTCCAGCAGAGAGCCAACAACGAAGGCGAACAAGAATTTATACATCGTCGCGGGAAAGGGAGAGGAGGAGAGAAGAAATCAGGTCTGGCCCATACCGTTTTTCACCAATGCTGACTGTATCTTACAGATGACCACGAGTTGAGAATCGTGTGCAAGATCATTGAGGCGGCTATATGGTACGTCGTTTCCGAGCGAACAGACATCCAAGCCGAGAGGGCCGCTTGAGACTCTTCCTCGAGCAGTCTTACGCTACTCGCTTTGAAAGCGCTTATCAAGACACACATACACGCACACACAAACAGTTTACAGCAATAAAAAATCAGGGGTTGTTGATTTTTTCCGTTTGGCAATTGGCATGAAGTTGAAATTTGGCCTGGAGTTGGAGGAGTCTTGATAGAACAGAAACAAGTAGATGAAACACAAAACAATTTGACTCATTGACATCTTCGTCTTCTTCACGGGCGATAAATGTATCTGTTCAATAATGAGGAGAACCTCGAATACAGGGATTGCAGGTGTGGGAGAGCTATCGAGACAAGGATCCTGAAAATGCCCTCACTCTACATCTCTTACTCCTTCCTTTGTTGTTAGCCAAAATACTGGCAAAAGTCTAATGCTTCGCTTCTCTCCCCCCTCATCGACGTATGAGCCGTCTCAGTTGATAACCCTCCTTGCATTGCGTTTTGGCCGTTCAAAAAGCAAGGCAAACGCGGTCTGGAGGTCTGAACGAAACGTTTGAAGCTGCCCAAAATTGATATGGTATTCTGCCATTGAAGGCTCTTCTTTCCGCACCATGCGTCCTTGCGGTCTGCAGTAATACAATTCTATATATACAAGCCTTCCAATCCGGAAACCAACCGTCCCAAACAAGATAAGACGAAATCCACAGAGTACCTAGTCGCTATCGCTGACCTGTCCCCTGGACATCTTGAACTTCTCCCTCGGCTTCGCTATACTCGCCTCCACGATCCGCCCGTCAAACGCCCGCCCGTGCATGAGCTGGATACACGCCTGCGCGGCCTGCGTATCCGAGAACTTGACCGCTACCACGCCGTCCGGCTCCTCGTCGTAGAGCACCACGTTGGTAACCCTCCCCAGTTTCCCGCACTCGTCGCGAATGTCCTCCTTGATCTCCACCAGCGCCGCCGGGTCCTCCTCCAGCTCCGCCAGCGTGAACATGTGCCGCAGGATCACCGTCCGGTTGCGCTTCGAGGTGCTTTCTACGGGTGCCGCCGCCACGTCGTCATCGCTCCAGTCCGCCAGCTTCGCGGCCATCTTCTGCGTCTTGCGGATAATCTTTTGCTTGTCCCCGTTGTTCGTGCTCCGCTGTGGCCGGGCGGCAGCAGCGTCTCCCCCTTTCTTATCCCCCCCTTCCGCGCCATTGGTGTCCTCGTCGTACTTTGTCTTCTTATAACTCGAGTCGGCAGCCTGGACCTTCATCCTGGGCGTTGCCCCTGCCGGACCCGGCTCGAAGCGGAACTCGGTGTCGTCCAGCAGCATAATGGCCATCTCGACGCTCTGCGGCTTGAAGAAGACGACGAGCGCGTCGCCCTTGAAGTTGCCGGCCTCGTCCGTGTACATCTTAATGCGCGGCCGGCCGCTGTCAATCTCCTCGGCAATCACGCCGGCTTTTCGGGAGAAGAGGTCGTGGACCTCGTCCACAGTCGCATCGGCGGGTAGACCCGTGACGTAGACGGCTGTGTTCTGGCGCGGCGGCGGCGGTGCGCGCGCTGGCTTCGCCTTCTTTGCTGGCCGCGCCCTGCCGTTGCCGTTGTCGTTACCGCCATTACCGTCACCGCCGCCGCTGCTGCTGCCGTTGCCGCCCGCATCTCCTGACGTGGGCGAGTCCTTCCGTTTCCTTGGGTTATTGCTGCCTCCATTGCTGTAACTCGGGCCGGCGCCGGCTCTCGACAGGTCTGCCAGTTGCGCCGCGGTCTCGTCTTCGTCGTCGAGTGGTTCTATGGGTTCGTCCGCGGCCTCGGCCCACGTGGATGTCGCCGGGTCGAACTCGAGCTCGGTGCCGTCGTCGAGGACGGCCAGGTACTTGTTGTCAAGCTTGGAGAAGGAGATGCGCTCGTCGCTGCCAAAGTCCTCGACGAACGTCGGTAGAGGGTCCTTCAACTGATCAGCCATCGTGAGAAGGGTTGCTGAGGGCTTCAGGGCAAGAATCCCTCGAGGTAAAAACTTTTGAACGCTGTGAAGGTTTGGTGTGATGTTCAAAGTGTCTGAAATTGGAATGCACCTTTTGGCTTGAATCTAGGCACGAATTCCGATCGCATTCTCCAGTGACGTTAGTGGGCCAACGGTGCAGGGACTGGGGTCAACGTGGGGTCCTCAACCTTGGGTACGTACCCAACAACACGATTTTCCAGGTTCCATGTTCTCCCATACGTCGGGAGTAGGTGTAATCGGAATGAATTACCTGCTAAATAACAAATATTTTATACGGATAAATGTACTTATGGAAAATGCTCTCGATACTGGAAGCGAGGTAAAATCAGCATTTGGCGGCTTCGAACAGACATGTCGAATGTGCTGTCTGTCTTTGTAGAACCTCATTTGTGTTAATCAGTTGCTGGGGCGTGTGTCGACTTCCTTACCTTCAACATGTCCGACGCATACAATGCCTAGTCCCAAGGCACCTACAATGTGTTGCTATGTTCAGTTTCTCCTGGGACTTCTCGCACTCAATCTGCAGACAGGTCCGAGGGTCTTCACCAGATACATCATCATCATCATCGCTAGATGCCAGACGAGGGTCTGAATATCAGGCAGTCTATTGTTTCGATTTCTATCATCTCAACATCCAAGCCACATCTAACCCTGCTTCTTCTCCTTGACGGTTGATTTGACGCCCTCGACAAAGGCCTCTACCGCTTCGCCACCGCCCAGGGGCATAGCACCACCCCTCATATAACCGCCATTGGGCACCTTAACGCTAAGAGCCTCCGCAATTGTGGGAAGACCGCCATCACGCAGCGCCATGGTCAAGCTTCCAAGTGCCTGATGGAACTGGGGACTTCTGAGCACTCTCTCCAGCAGGCTCTTCTTCTCTGCGAGGCTCAACGTGGCTGTGGCAGCAGCAGCAGCGTCTGCCGTGGGCTCAGAGTCACCCAGGTCATCCGCCTCCGTGGCAAGCACGACGATTGCGGGTGGCAGAAAGCTCAAAAGGCTGTCGATAAACTCCTCCGATGCCGATCGAAGCATTGGAATGGTGATCTCGTTCGGAAGAAGATGGCTTAGGTACGGGAAAGGCTTGTCTGCGTGTTGCTGCTGCCCGCTTTGCTGTGATCCACTCAAATTGGCGTTGCCTTGTAATGATGCCAGGAAGTTCCGAACGGCAGCATCCGCGACAGTGTTGGAGCCACCAGCAGCACTATGAAGCGATTAGCACATGAGCATATAATGGAAGAGTCAAGCCATGGGCACTGCGCTGAAAAGCCGAAACTCCGAACCCTCTTGTCTTTTGAAAGGCTCTAAAAGTACAGGTGACGCCATAAGACGGGCCGTCTTTTTCCTCGCCAGTGCCCATGTAGCCCGTGTAACTCTAACGACCCTAGGCTCCAACCGCCAGAGCCATGCATGAGGAAGTAACCTACGCTCGTGCTCCATCACCTCCACCTTCTCTGGCATTCTCGCCTTCTTCTCTGATATCGCCTCCTGTAGCGCCAGCACCAGCACCACCGCTGCCTCCCTGGGACTGTTCGTGCCGGTCACCCTGACCCTCAGCATCCTCCATCGTTTCGTCATCGTCATCGTCCCGCCTGTCGTCGGTGTTGCGAACTTGCGCCAGCTCACGGCTCACGTTGACCTCCTCGCCCTGGAGAAGCGCATTGACGATTTCACCAATCTTCTTGTCGCGCGGGCTGAACCAGCTGGGGTCTCCGTTGCGCGACTGAGGCTTGGACTGGAGCCAGAAGAAGTGTCTCTGGGAGGAAGAACCGAATTTGAGGACAAAGACGCGACCGTTTGTCTTTGCTGAGGGTTGATCGGCTGCAGCGTGAGCGACGAATTCACCGTCCATGGGCACCATGACGAGGTCGAGATCGGGGTTCTCCATGGTGGCGGTGCGCTCTCGCCAGCAGAAGTGAATCAAGTCTGTGACTTATTAGGCATCTGCAAGAGATATCGGTAGCGAATATACGAACCATCTTCGGAGTAGAGGTAGATGTAGCCAGGTGTCGCCTGCGGCTTGATCTTGTAAGGCTTGCTGGAGGTCTATGATAGATGTCAGCGAACCAGGGTCTGGCAATGATTGTGGAACTGCACTACTGACGTCTGCCTCGCAGATACCAGCCTTAAAGGTGATTATCGGCAGAACCGACGACGACATGGCGTGTCTTCGATTTGGATTTGGGTGATGAGGAACAGCGGGTTGTTGTCGTGAAGTCCGGTTTTGGTAGTCGTTTGTATGGTGATTTGGAGAAGGGCGATTGGCGTAAGGTCGAGCTTGTTCCGTTTGGAGCTATCGACCGCAATTGCGTAGGAGCTCCCTGCCTACCGCCTGAGGTGGGTTGGCGGCGTCGGATCCATCAGGTACCTCATCCCACCCGTCGTTGGATCCACCGCAGGGGCTCTGCTCTCCCGGCCCGTCCTTACTCCGAAGAGGGGTCTGGCGCTGGGCAACCAAGATGGTGGGGTCCGTGCCGCTCAGAGCCTGAGTGAAGAGCACCGCAATCTCAAAATTTTCGACCTGGTCCTTCCCAACCCCACCTTCACTTACTTATTTCTACCTGCACCTCAACACATCCTCCTTCTTCTGCTTCTTCCACAGATACCCCTTTCCCTTCCCTCTACACACTCTTCAAAACGCAAAAATGGGCTTCGCCGACCTTCTCACTGATGCTGGTGCTGCCAGTAAGTTTCTGCAGCGATGATTCTTCTTTCTTTCACGGGCTGACAATCGTGTCAGTGCTGAACAGCTGGCTCACCACCCGCTCCTACATCGTCGGGTAAGTTTGCAACCCCCCTATTCACCGCTCCCGAGTTCTCCTCTCTCGACTCCCTTTTGGCATTACATGATGAGGAAAATTGGTCCGTGTTTCGGAGGCAGCCTCAAGACCTGCTATTTGACGACAAAACCAGCACTTCGTGCAACTCTGACCCCCGCCTTACCCATTCACTTTTATCTCGCAAAAGCAAACTTGGGCAAGACATTGCCGCTAACAATCGGCACAGCTCTACCCCTTCCCAGGCCGACGTTGCCACCTTCAAGGCTCTTCAGTCCGCTCCTGATGCCGAGAAGTACCCCCACGCCGCCAGATGGTACAAGCACATCGCCTCCTACGAGAGCGACTTCGCCACCCTCCCCGGTGATGCCTCCAAGTCCTACTCCGTCTACGGCCCTGAGGCCACTGAGCTCCCCGTGAACCCCGCCAAGGCCCCCGCCGCCGAGGAGGATGAGGATGACGTCGACCTGTTCGGCTCTGACGACGAGGAGGAGGACGCTGAGGCTGCCCGCATTCGTGAGGAGCGCCTTGCTGAGTACAAGAAGAAGAAGGACAACAAGCCCAAGCTCGCTGCCAAGTCTGTCGTCACTATGGATGTCAAGCCTTGGGGTAAGGATTTCTCCTTGAACTGTAAATCAAGGATATGACGCTGACTAAATTGCAGATGACGAGACTGACATGGCTGCCCTCGAGGCTGGTGTCCGCGCCATCGAGCACGACGGTCTCGTTTGGGGTGCCTCCAAGCTTGTTCCCGTTGGTTTCGGTATCAAGAAGCTCCAGATCAACCTCGTTGTCGAGGATGAGAAGATCAGCTTGTCTGATCTCGAGGAGGAGATTGCCGAGCTTGAGGACTACGTCCAGTCCGTGGACATTGCTGCTATGCAGAAGCTGTAAGGGGCTTTATGATGAACGGGAGGGATGATTTCACGAGGCATGATGGTGGAGACATGAAAAAAAATCCATAGAATCCTCACAAGAAAGGTTATGGCTCAGGAAACGCAACAGTTTCTGGCACCAACAAAGGCAGCGTCCTTTGTCGCACAAAGAGTGCGGGCTCAAGGCCTTTTATGAATACAAATGAGGTTATGAAAACCTTTTGAAGAAGACAATACCTCTGTTCCAATCCCTAGTTTCTCTGTGTCTCGATTCCTTGATCCTGATTGAGGGGTCGAATTGGCACCTCTCGACCTTTATGACTCTTTGCTCTCGCCCAGTCAAAATCTTACAGAGGTGAATTGTGTATCAAAGTGGGGCGGCGCTAAGTGAGGGGCAATTCTTCGCTTCCATCGAGGGCCCTCCCGGGAGGGTAAGCAAGCCAATGCAACGCGACTCGAGTAGCTTGTGAACCGTGCCTGCGTACCCGCCAGCTTCAAGCTTACAACGCGAACGTCGACACGAGACGCGCCAGCCGCAGCAACATAACCAGCTCACATTCGCTTGCCCAGGCTGAAATACTTTTTGTCAAGATGTACGGCGATTTGGGCAACAAGTTGGTACGACCAGGCCCAAAGACAGCCTTTCGTCACGTAGTTGCAAAGAGCTAACGCGTCTGCCAGGTGCAACATGCTAAACGAACCCAAAACCTTTCGCATTTGCCAGCGTACCAAGCCGAGATAGTACGCGCCGTTACGCGCGAAGTACGAGACCTAGAAAAAGATGTGACGGAGGTTCTTGAACCTTTCCAGGGCTCTTTCGACCCAGCCGCCAACCAAGCGACAGCCTGCACAGTCCTTGTCAATTATCTTTCCATGCGAAGGAATAAGCGATGCGTTCTCGCATACCACCGAACTCGGACAGATAAATTGGAGGAGCTGGCATGGAAGGGAGTCGATGTGCTTGACCTGGCCGGGCAACAAGTACGAGGCAATGCGGGATCATCAACGGGGGGCCCTAATGGCAATGCCGACGGTCCTACGAGCAGCCTTAGCCCGCAAGAGGAGGAGTATGTGAGGCAGTACGGCGATCTGTTGGCTGCCTACAAAGGGCAATGGACGGACATCGACTTGACGGGTAGCTTGGAGCCGCCGCGAGACCTCTTCATTGACGTGAGAGTCTTGAAGGATGCAGGAGAGATCCAGACCGAATACGGGTGAGTTCGAACCTCTTGAACCGCAGATAAGGATTGCGTCTGACGCCGGGGATCCAGCGCCATCAACTTGACCAAGAACAGTCAATTTTACGTCA